GAGTTTCGCTCCTTTTGCCCAGGCTGGAGTGCAATGGCATGATCTCGGCTCACTGCAACCTCCACCTCCTGGGTTCAAGCGATTCTCCTGCCTCAGCCTCCCATGTAGCTGGGATTACAGGTGTGTGCCACCAAGCCCAACTAATTTTGTATTTTTAGTAGAGATGGGGTTTCACCATTTTGGTCAGGCTGGTCTTGAACTCCTGACCTCAGGTGATCTGCCCGCCTTGGCCTCCCAATGTGCTGGGATTACAAGTGTAAGCCACCGCATCCAGCCCTGTATATTTTTTTCTTAGTAGAGACAGGATTTTACCATGTTGGCCAGTCTAGTCTCAAATTCTTGACCTCAACTGATCTGCCTGCCTCTTGTTTTTTATTTTTTATTTTTTTTGTTTTGAAATATTAGTAACTTTTGATGTTGTGTTTTTAATTTTTTGAAAACTTCCATACTGTTTTCCATAATAGTTGTACTAATTTACGTTCCCATCAATAGTGTATAAGAATTCCCTTTTCTCCACATCTGTACTGGCACTTGTTATGTTCCGTTTTTTGGATAGTAGCCATTCTAACTGGGGTGAGATGATACTGCACTGTGGCTTTGATTTGCCTTTCCCTGATGATTAGTGATGTTAGGCATTCTTTCATATACCTGTTGGCTATTTATATGTCTTTTTTTTGAGAAATGTCTATTCAGATCCTTTTCCCATTTAAAAATCAGATTATTTGTTTTGTTGTTGTCAAATATGATCCAGCAATCTCATTACTGGATATTTATCAAAAAGAAAGTAGTGTATGGAAGAGGTACTTGCACCTCCATGTTTATTGTAGCTCTATTCACAAGAGCAAGATATGAAATCAACTTGTCTATCAACAGATCAATGAATAAAGAAAATGTGGTATATATGAGAAACGAAATACTATTCAGCCTTAACAAAGAAGTAAATCCTGTCATTTGCAGCAACATGGATGAGCCTAGAGGACATTATGTTAAGTAAAGTAAGTCAAGCACAGAAAGATAAACACCATATGTTCTTGCTCACATGTGAAAGCTAAAAAACTGAGCTCATAGAAACAGAGTAGAATTATGCTTATTAGAGACTGGGAAGGGTAGTGGGGAGGGTATAAGAAGGAAATGTTGGTTAATGGATACAAAATTATAATTGGATAGAAGAAATAATTTTGAGTGTTTCATAGTACTGTAGGGTAAATGTGGTTAACAATAATTTATTATATATTTTCAAAAAGCTGGAAGAGAAGATTTTAAATGTTCATAGCAGCAATGAGAAATGTTTGAGGTGAAGGATATTCTAATCACCCTGATTTGTACATTTCTAGGTATTAAAATATCACTCTGTACCCCATAAATATATATGATTATTACATACCAAATAAAATTTAAAGAAAAAAACTTCTGATGTTGATCATACACTGAAATGATAATCTTTTGAATATATTAGATTAAATAAAATATATTATTAAAATTGATTTCACTGGCTTTCTTTTTACTTTTTTAGTGTGACTATAATTACATTTTAAATTACACGTGTGGCTCACATTACATTTCTATTAATAGTACTGTAGATCATTTTCTGATTTTTAGAATTTTGGAATATCTAATAATCTTAATTAGTTAATTGGGAGGAAAAGGTTACATTTTAATCTTACATGATATTTCCAAAACAAATCTTGTTTTTTTAAAAAAAAGTTTAAAAAATTAAATAATGCTATAAAAATACTATAAGAAAATGTACATGAAAGGGAAAGCATTTTTGAAATATAATATCAAAGGCAGAAAGCTTAAAGGAAAATACCGATAAATTGGAATACATTTAAAATATGTTGCAAAAAATGCCACATATAAAATGAAAAGGCAAACCAAAATAGAGGAAAACTGTATGTGACATTTATAGCAGATTAAAAGTTAATATTTGAGGACACAGGAAACTGTCACATCTCATCCTTAGCTTTCTCCTTTTCCCAGTGGAGAATTTTGGTGAACAAGTATGTAAATATTACCCAATCCTTCAGTAAAGTCTAACACGTATATGATACTTTGTGCATTATTTAGAAGATATTAAGGAAAAAAACTAGATTATTTATCTGGCTCTACTTGCTGTAATATATGTATTGCATGATATGCTGGCAAAACAATATGTAAACTTACCTGTTTCAGGTGGGATCAAATTCTCCTTCTATGAGAGATGTGACGAGAAAAACTCCTGAAGATCGTTCGCAAACCTTAGGAAAGGCAATTTTCACAAATCTTGAGGAAGGTACAGCATAGTACAACAGCCATGAAAGGAGGTACGATTCGATGTGCCCCAAATATTAAAGGGCAGAATGATCTCAGCTTATTTCTACATTTCAACATATGAAGAGTTCATTTATAAATCAATAAGAATAATATAGGTTCATAAATAGAAATATTAGCAAAGCAAATGACTAGGAAACTTATCAAATAACACAAATAGTTATAAAAATGTTAAAGATGGCCGGGCGTGGTGGTACATTCCTGTAATCCGAGCACTTTGGGGGGCCGATGAGGTGGATCACCTGAGGTCAGGAGTTTGCGACCAGCCTGACTAATATGGTTAAACCCTGTCTCTACTAAATACAAAAAAATTAGCCAGGTGTGGTGGCACATGCCCATAATTTGAGCTACTTGGGAGGCTGAGACAGGAGAATTACTTGTACCTGGGAGGCGGAAGTTGCAGTGAGCCAAGATCGCGTCATTGCACTCCAGCCTGAGCAACAAGAGCGAAACTCTGTCTCAAAAAAAAAAAAGTTAAAGATGGAAAATTGATTGAAAGAAAGGATAGATTTGAAACAGGATGAGGAGCCACTTGAGCCATCATTAGCTGTGGAAAGATCAAAGAGGAAAGAACAGAGAGTCTTCCTATCAAAGAATGTTTAGGAATTGGAGGTTTTCCTTCAAAGTGTTCTTGTGAGTGCATTTTGTCTTTTTTTTTTTTTTGTCAACTGGGATCTTGCTGAATGTCTGAGTTCTGTGTTAAGCCGTGCAAGGCTCTAGAACATTCAACCAGTCTGTGACCCCAGGGAGGTGTTCCATTGCCCACTGCAACTGCAGACCATGGATGCCACAAATCATTTGTATGGACCTCTCAACACTGGTAGCCTTGAGGGAGAAGGTGACAGTCAAATCCTGAACAACCATTCACCAGACTCCATCTGATAGTCCAGGTCCCTGAATCCTAGAGTGGTGCTGATGTCTTACAATTTATGAATGAAATATTAGACATGAGATAATCTTTTTTTCTTTTTTTTTTTT